CAGCCTAACTTGCACGAGGAGAGGGGTTAGAATATTCCTTCCACTCCATCAATCATTTTAGATATGAGGAAACAGGCCAGAAAGATTAATAACTTTGTGATAATCACACAGTTTGTAAGTAGCAAAGTTAGATTCAAACACATATTCTGATTCCAAACTCAGGGTTCTTTCCACTGCTGCCTCTTTGTCTGTAGGTCCCAAGTGTTGTACATCTTTTTTAGAAGGTTTATAAATTACTGTCTTTGGAGACACCACTCAACCACCTTGGCTGAGTGTCTATGTTGGTAAAATGAAGGTCAATCCAAGGTGCCCATGTCCACAGCTACAAGGCCTGACCATGGATGGGCTGTGGTTAGTACCAGCTCCTGAAAAGGTCACTGTCAGTCACTGATGCTGTGTCCTTCCCTATAATCTCAGACTCAGCTCACCACTTCCTGCTTAACTCTCTGGATCTTTGGCACACTCTGTGGGCTCCTGGCTAGGACCTGACAGTCTTGCCTCACACCAAAAACAAAAACAACCTCTACCCCACCGCCAACTCAGACAATGGACGTGCTGTTTGCTCCCTGGTAGGCCCACTCTCTGGGAGATCCAGAGGTGCTGGGCCAGAACACTATACTCTAGCAAGAAAATGAGTCCGCCATATTAGTTCAAAGGCAAAGAATCTTCTAAACTTTCTAGCATCAAACTGTTTATGATTCCCCAGAGAGCTCCCTATTGCCTGGGCTACAGTCTCATTCATTTCCTACTTGTTAGCATAAGTTGTTCACCCTCTAGGTAGTATGGTAGAGAAAGTGCTGAACTTGCAGTGGTCAGGAAGACCTGAGTTCAAACCCAGCCTAGATACTGTTAGCTGTGTGACTGCTGGACAAGTCATTTAACCTCTGTTTGCTTCAGTTTCTTCAACTATAGGATATAGATAACGATAGCAGCTATAATGAACAGATGTTGTAAGAATCAAATGAAATCATATTTGTAAAGCACTTAGCACAGTGCTTGGCACATAGTAGGTGCTATATAAATGTTAGTTATTACTATTTTTATTATTATCTCAGTAGTCTCCAAACAGAGAACAAGGGATATAAGAAGATTGGAAAGGCAGATTGTGAAGGGATTTGAATACCCAACAGAGGATTTTATATTTGATTTATATGATCCTGGGAGCAGTGGGGAACCACTAGAATTTATGGAAAAAGGAGATTAACATGGTCAGATCTATGCTTTAAGAAGATTAATTTGACAACTGAATGTAGAACAGATTGGAATGGGGAGAAATGAAGCAGGGTGGATTCATGAGACAGGGGTGAGGAGAGAATGTATTCAAGGCATGAATGATATTCAGTGAAGAAACAGTAGAGAAAGGAGATAGAGGATTCAAGAAACCTTCAGACCACCACAGAGATTTCCTTTTATTTTTACCATATTCTTATCCCATATTGTAGTGTTGGCAGGACAACCTCCTTCTCAATCATGACCCTTACTTTTGCTGCTCCAGATACCTTCATTATCGTGTAACTTCACTTTTTTCTAGCTCCGGTCTACTGTTTAGATAGTCTAACCACACAGTTCAAAAAAAGTTCTAAATCTTATCATTCATAGTACTTTTTTCTATTTGTACATTTATTTTATAGCAAAACTCAACTTTGAATGGGAAAACCTTCCCAGACCAATTTTTAAACTTCTGGGCAGGGTGGTATAGGAGAAAGGCCACTGATTCTTGTGTCAGGGGGTCCTAGGTTCAAACACTATCTCTGATTCTTAGCTATTTGACAATAATCAAGTCACTTAACCTCCCTGGGTCTCAGTTTCCTCATCTGTAAAATGTGAGGTTTGGACAAGGTAGCCTCTAAGGCCTATTCCAACTCTACCTAGATTTATAAACCTATAGACCTAAGTTGCAATTGCAATGCAGATTTCCATTCTAATTATATCAAAAACTTCCCTAAAGACTCATTCCCTAGGAAATGATTACTGACACATTCACAATTTTAATAGGTTTTTCAAATGAAATGGCCCTGGTAAAGATCTGAATTAACATTATCAGGTTAAAAATAACTATCAAATGAGTTCATTCTGTGGCTTATTTCTGGGCAATAATCAGGGCATACCGTTTCCTTCTTCTTGCCCAGAAAGTCAATCAGTCAATTAACATTTATTAAGTACCTACTATGTGCTAAATGCTGGGGATACAAAGAAGCACAAAAAGAAGGCTTGTTTTACCACCTTCTTTTAAAGGCCACAGAACTTGGCTCTCCTTCCTAGGGGAACCGTGGGAAGACTTTCTATGAGACAATCAAGTACAATAAAGGTTAGTAGGCCACCAACCTGGTATGGGCACTGCAACCCCACTTTTCAAACCCTTGACACTGTCATCTACAGAAAGAGAAAGAGTTTGGGAGGGAGACAGGAAAAATAAGAACCAATAGCCCGTGTGTCAGAATGAATGAATAAGTATTTACTAAGCACTTGCCAAATGCTTTCATTTTGCTAAGTACTGGGGATACAGTACTGTCTAGAAATCCATGTTCCAATGGTAAAGATAACACTTGTGGGAAGATCCAGCCATAGGGCAGATGGCAAGGCCCAGTGGTCCAGAGAGTGAAACGGCAGAGCAAATAGTAATGACTGGCAGTTCAGAGGATGTAACAAGAAGGTAGGTGGCATGGAGCTCATCTCTTTGCCCACCAGGAAGTGTGTCACTCAGTATCTTTTTAATGAAGAGAAAAGCAAAGCATTCCCCCAGTGGCTTCATCTCTTGTCAATTATTCATAGACGCAGTATAACACCAGCCTCTCTTCCACTTCCAACATCCTGGATTTTGCAAAATTTTCAGATCTTATTATAATTGAAGTCCATACATCTAGCATCAGATATACTTACAAAGAATCATTTCAATCGAAGAAGAGTATTAGAGATATGCTCTCCAACAAGATGTACAAATATATGTTTTAAAAAAACTTTCTCTATCAAGACAGAAATAATTAATCTAATTTACCTAAAGTTTGGTATTACTCATGAGGGGCAAAGAAGCAAAAAATGGAATATATAAATAATATAAGTCCTATTGTACAGAATATATAAAATGTTGATGCATTTTTTTGCTTTCTCTTCATACTGTAAGTGGTTTTCTTTACTAAAGTAACATATCCAGTAATGGGCTCATCTAAGCATAATAGGTAGAATTTGTATAAAGTTCAAAAAAAGAATCACAAAGATGATTAAAGGGGTGTAAAGCAGGAGCTAGGGTTTTTTTTTTTTGGCCTGGATTACAGAATACTAAACAGAGGCTTGATGACAATATTCAAGCATATGAAGGGTTATTACACAGAGGATGGCAACTAGCTGTTCTTTAACCCAACAAGAGGAAACTAACTTTAATTCCAGCATGAAAAACTTAAGTTAGATGTAAATATAAACTTTTAACAATAAGGATCATTAGACTATAGAAAGATTGTGAAACCTAAGAATCATTTCTCGTGCCTAAGACACTTATCAATCAATCAATAATCAATAAGCATTTACTAAGAGCTTTCCTAAGTGCTGGGGACACAAAAAGAGTCAAAAGACAGTCTCTGACCCCAGGCAGCTTACAATCTAATGAGGAGAGACAACATGCAAATAAATCTATACTAAGCAAGCAATATACGAAATAAATAGGAAATCATTAGCAGAGGGAGTTCACTAGAAGTAAGATGAGTAGGGGAAGGCTTCTAGTAAAAGAAGGGATTTTAGTTGGGATTTAAAGGAAGCTAAAGAGATCAGCAGGCAGAGCCGAGGAGGGAGGGCATTCCAGATATGGGGACAGCTAGAGAAAATGCCCAGGGCTGAGGGATGGAGTGTCTTGTCTATGGAATAGCCAAGAGGCCAGTGTCACTAGATTGAAGAGAACTTGAGGAGTAAGCTGTAAGAAGACTGGAAAGGTTTTTGTTGTTGTTGTGTAGTTGTTTCAGTAGTGTCCGACTCTTCATGACCCCATTTGGAATTTTCTTGGCAAAGACACTGGAGTGGGTTGCCATTTTCTTCTCCAGCTCATTTTACAGATAAGGAACTAAGGCAAACAGGATTAAGTGACTTGCTAGTAACAGCTAGTATCTGAGGCCAGATTTGAACTCAGAAAGATAAGTCTTCCTGACTTCAGGCCCAATACTCTACCACTGAGCCACCTAGCTGCCCAATTGGAAAGGTGGGAGGCAGCTAAGTTGTAAAAGTCTTTGAATGCCAAACAGAGCATTTTTGTATTTGATCCTGTAGGCAACAGAGAGCCACTGAGTTTTATTGAGGAGGTGGTGACATGATTGGACCTGAATTTTAGGAAAACCATTTTAGTGACTGAATGGAGGATGGATTGGAGAGGGGAGAGAATTGATTCAGGTAGACCCACTAGCAGGCTATTGCAATAGTCCGAGTGTGAGATGATGAGGGGTGATACCAGAGTGCTGGTAGTGTCAGCAGAGAAAAGGAGTCTTATTAAGTGCAGGCAGAAGTCCCTAAATAGCAAGTCATGAGGCACAGGAGAATAAATCCCATAAAGGTGGATGAACAGATTCCCAATGTGTATAGATCCTTAGTAGACACTAAAATTGGCCTAGATCCTTGGAGTCTGATCCTAAAAATTAAGAATTACTCCACTGGGTCCTATTCCATTCTGAATCCAGTATTCCAACTATGGACCTTTGCAATCAGATTACATTAGTCTCATTTTGGTGAAACTTACTAGAGATCCAGGGTTGACCGGGCAGACACAGAGTTCATATTCATCCTCTTAAAGACAAATTCTGTTATGGTCATATTGCTTATAAGGGAATAGTTAGTTTTAGCGGAAAAAAAGTGAAACTAAAAGTAGAATTTTATGATGTCTGATTTTTCATAAATTTCATCCAGCTCATAGAGCCAGTTTTCATTCCAGTCTTTTCCGTAATTACGGTACTTTATTTTTTTTAACAAAAGAATACAACAGCCAGGTATAAAGCAGTAGACCTTTATTACAGTATGTTTTAACTAACACAAGATGAAGCTCAAGATTTAAGATGAAATACTTCTGGGGAAGAATCAGGGACAACTAGAGAAGGACAAAATCAGGGTAGGCACTAAGACCTCATACCCATTCAGCATACCCAGCTTCCCCCCGTTCTCCATCCTTTATCTTCCTTGGTGTGAGGTGCCTGGATCACAAGGGGAAAAGAAGGAAACAATCATTTATTAAGTACCAACTATATATTAAACACTGTGCTAAGTGCTTTTACAAATAGTATTTCATTTGTTCCTCACAACAACCCTGTGAGATACAAGCTATTATTATCTTCACTTCACAGTCTAGAAAATTGAGGCAAATAGAGGTTGTGACTTACCCAGAGTCACACAGCTAATGTCTGAGGCTGGATTTGAATTCAGGTATTCTGACTCCAGGTCCACCACTCTGTGCACTATGGTGTCACCTAGCTACTCTAACAAACACTTAAACACCAGGATGACTCATTAACACAGCTTAAAATCATGGAGTTTATTGAAAGGGTAAGAATTGGTGCTGATGTCAAGGAAGAGAAATGCTAGATATTGGGTAATGTGAAAGATCTGGCCAAAACAAATAAGGAGAACAAGAACAAAATAGGGAATTTTCTAGGAAATGGCGTAATGTTGGGCTGGAAGTATAGGCTGTTGCTTCAGAGAGGCATATATTATAGACTCCAGATATTTTGTACTATCGTGGGTTCCCTGGAGGATTCCAACTGGTACTTTCTTCCTAGTACTAAGAATTTCAGTTTAGTCAAGGCTGGGATATTGTTACCATACTGGTCTTAGGAGTGTACTATTAACGTAGGCATGCATACAGTATGGGCTCAGAGGAAGGATAAATGTGAATACATCTGAGGGAGTATAAACCTGGCTCATAATCTATTTTATACCTGTAGTTATTAACGTCGTGAAAGCAGGTTATGGGAATACCAATTCCAGCTGATCAAATCTGCTCACTAATGAGGCCCAAAACTGTAGAACTGCAGAAATTACTATCTTACTATGCATAATTTATTTGTATAAATATACACATATATGTAAGGTTTGTGCTGCCTGTGTAAAATAATAGAATATAGATGTATACTCACATACAACTATGTCAAATAGTAATAGCTAACATTTATATAGCATTTTAAGCTTTGCAAATCTCTTTACAAATACTATCTTAACCTCATAATAGCCTTGGGAGGTCGGTGCAATTATTGTCCCCATTGTACAAATAAGGAAACTGAGATAGACAAAGGTTAAATGACTTGTCCAGGATCATGTGGGTATTAAGTGCCTGAGGCCACATTTGAATGCAAGTCCAGCACACTGCATATATACACACATGTATATGTGTATATACATACATACACATATATACATGTATGTGTGTATACATACATACACACATGTATATACACAAACATATACATGTATATATGCATATTTATGTATACGTATGTGTACATACATATACATATATTTGTTGTACCACCTAGTGGCCCCTTGTAAAATATTTATGTGAGATGTATATGATGTACATCTCTACATGGGTGTCTAAACAAATAAACAAACAGCTTGAGGGAAGGCATGGATAAATATCTCTAGAATCTTGTATACCTTTCTCCAATGATGACTGTAGTTCTTACCTGGAGGAGAGCAAGATAAGAGGCCACCAGGCTAGAAAATCATGAAAAAAGAATCAATAGCTTGGTAATGGAAGCACAACAAAATACTGAAAAAAATAACACCTTAATAAAACAGAATGGGTCAACTGGTAAACGAGGGACAAAAATCCACTGAAGAAAAAAACTCCTTAAAAAGCAGAATTGGTCAAATGCAAAAAGAGCATAAAAGTTCACTGAAGAAAATGATTCCTTAAAAATTAGAAGTAGGCAAGTAAAAGTTAATGACTCCATGAGACATCAAGAAACAATAAAACAAAGTCAAAAGAATAAAAAGAAAACACAAGAAAATGTGAAACATCTCATCAGAAAAATAACTAACCTGGAAAACAGATCAAGGAGATACAATTTAAGAATTATTAGACTACTTGAAAGCCATGATCAAAAAAAAGAGCCTAGACATGGTATCTCAAGAAATTATAAAAGAAAATTGCCCTGATATCTTAGATCCAGAGGGTAAAATAGAAATTGAAAGAATCCGCTTATCACCTCCTGAAAAAGATCCCAAAATGAAAACTCCCAGGAATATTATACCCAAATTCTAGAGGTCCCAGATTAAGAAGAAAATACTTCAAGCATCCAGAAAGAAACAATTCAAATATCATGAAGCCACAGTCAAGATCACACAAGATCTTAAAGGAACAGAGGGCTTAGAATATGATATTCTGGAAGGCAAAGGAACTCTGATTACAACCAAGAATAAGCTACCTGGGAAAATGGAATATAAACCTTCAGAGGTGAAATTGACATTTAATGAAATAGAGGACTTTCAATCATTCCTGATGAAAAGGCAAGAGCTGAATAGAAAATTTGACATTCAAACACAAGACTCAAGGAAGCATGAAAAGGTAAATAGAGAAGAATAATGATAAGGGACTCAATAAAGTTGAACTGTTTACATTTCTATATGGGAAGGTAATACATGTAATTCCTAATAATCTTATCATTATTAAAGCAGTTGGAGTTACATAGAGGGCATGAGTGTGAGTCAATTACGTTAAGATGACCTCTAAAAAAAAAAAAGAAAATGAAAGGGTAAGAAAGAGGGAAGCACAGGGAGAAGGGGGAAGGGAGAGGTAGAATGATGTATTTCATAATGGAACTTAAATTACATTCCTTGGGGATACTAAAATTGTGTCTATAAATTAAAAATAAAATCTTGTTTTTCCTTTAGAAAAGAAATAATCTAGCTCCCATCTTGTTTGAAAATTCTGTTTTCTTCTTGTATGGACCTTTTCTTACTGTTTTTAGAATATAACATGATTAATACCCTTTTAAAATAAAAATTTAATAAGTTTTAAAACAAATAACACGTTTATATTTCAAGTTATAAATAAATTTATAATTTTTACCTTAAAATATAAGGAGAGAACATTTGTTCATATCCATTCAAAAAGTGTCTCTGGGTTCCTGGGAAGAACTTAAGATTGTCCTATCAAGTGCCTCCCCCAATGGCTTACACCAGAGTCACAACAAAATCCTTGTGGCAAAATTGTGGTTGGTTTCTCAAATCCCTAATTTAAAGACAAACAAAACTCAGTTTACTCAGCATAGTTGTTAAGCAATCTTAAAATTTTAAGGTTCTGCCTTTGTTTGCATTCTCTCATTGTTGGGGTAACTCATGCCGCCCCTCAAAGGCTGGCTATGTCTATATACAATTACAGGACTGATGACTTCTGGTTCAGCTGCGTCATCATTTCCAAAACCAAACAATCTATGTAAAGATGACTCCCTTAAAGCTATGAGAGGACTTTTTTTAGACCTCCCAGAAGTTGATTGAATTTAAATTTGAATTGAAGTTGATTGAAGCTTCTGTATCAGCTAGGACTGAAAACAAGTAGCTCTAATGAATTTGTCTTTTTCTAATGAGAGAAAATCTCTTTCTCCATTCCCAAAAATTCAATTCCCCCAGGTTGCTTTGAAAGTAAACTGAGTTTTTAAGAAATCCACTCAAAGAACTTGGAAGAGGCTTAAATTACCAGTCTGGAAGGCCCAAGAAAACTGGAAGGCATAACTCCCAGACTAAAGTGATTATCTTCAAGGTATCTTCAGCACAATTATCTTCTAGGTATTTTTAAAGACACAGAATATGCTCACATTCTTGTTGAATGGCCATAGGCAGTTTTCTCTTTAATCCCCAAGGAGGTGTCTTACAGTAAAAGCAACCACTTTCTCCAGAGACAACACCAAAAGCACCACCAGAAGCATGAAGGCTAATTCAGAATCACCTGCCTCTGCTCTGTCCATCCCCCACTTCAACTACAGTTATCCCTTCCACATCACAATTTTCCCCACTGTGGTTGCAATATATTGTGGGTTAGTTATAAGAAATTAAATGGGAATTTGGGGGGAGTTTTGTGGAAGCTGCAGATTACACAGAAAAAGTTTAGAAACCCAGAAATACATAAAATATATGTATAGTATGGTATAATATCAACATATTTTATCTTTTAATACCATAATAATTCAGACTTCTTCTCTGGAACAAAGGGAGGGCCAAAAAAATTTACATGGATTTTCCACATCATGGGGGCGCATTGCCTCTAACCTCTACAATGCAGAAGGATAACTGCAGGTCATTATGTTACAATCCTACAAGATTACACCAAGTAATTTAGATTCCGTATTGGAAGAAAATGAGACACTCATAGGTCATTCAATAGTTACATAAAGGAAACTTATTTAGCCATAGCTGGAGAAAAATATTTAAAAAAAAAAAACAGGCACTGAGGACCACTCCAATTGGTTTAGCTTAGCAAAGTTTCAATTGAGATTGGAGCCAAGCATTTGAGAGCTCCTTCAGCTTATGGCTGCTTTGTACCCAGATGACTGGAAGTGATGTCAATTGTCTGAGCCCTTAGTCCCCTAAGTCAGCCAAGTTTGGGGAAATGTCTGGATACCTTTTAAGGAAAAACTAGCCTACACAGCACGGGAGAGGGTTTGGGCTATTGCTCTTACCACAGTTTCACAAAAGACATCTCCAAAAGTAAATAGCAAATACACTCATCTGTTCAGCAAATATCAAACAGAAATCAGAAATACAGATTAGATTATACTAGAAAATACACAAGAATGAATAACCTCTTTAGATGGGAGTGAGATGAAATTGCAGCTTAATGAAGAGAGAGGTCCCAGTGTCACTGAAGGGGAAATTTCCTGAAATTTCTCAGTGAAGTAAGCTGGAAATAAAGGGACATGTTGAGGAGATGGCTTTACCTACATGTCTGTCTTTCAAAGTCTATCTCTATCTCCTCACATGTCTGGAATCAGTCCCCAAGTCAGTCTGAAAAGCTACATGTCCTCTCTCAAAGCAGAATGAAAAATATCTCTACTCTTCAAAGCTTTCTGACCAAGTCAGCCCCTCATACAGTCATTCAGGATTGCATCAAGCATTCTTTTCACTATTCCACAATCACATTCCAAAAGTAACACATACCGTATGACTGCCCTTCCTTAACCCAGCTTGGTTGGGGAGTTGG